AATCGGTAGTCGGTAATCTTTCCTTGTGAGTTCATTACCCAAAATTTTTCTACCTAGTACTGGGTATCCGGTAATGTTTCTTCACCCTTTTGAGTATTTTGCTCATCCTTTTTGGTCAGTTATCGACATATTTTTCTACCCAGTAATCGGTAGTCGGTAATCTTTCCTTGTGAGTTCGTTACCCAAATTTTTCTACCTAGTACTGGGTATCCGGTAATGTTTCTTCACCTTTTGAGTATATTGCCTTTATTGTGCTATCTATTGATTGGTAGTCGGTAATATTCTCACCCCTTTGGTTTATTACGCCTATTTTCTACTCAGTAACCAGTATAAGCATTTTACCTGTTCTCTTTGGATCGACTATATTCGGCCAGTAACTGGCAGTTGGTATCTCTTTCCCTGTTGAGTCGTTTCTTTCCTTTATCAGAATAGGATCTTGTTCTTTTGTTTTCCCTTGTGGAGTCTCTTTTCTTCTTTTTCTCCCGAACTTTTGTTTGTCTCCTGTGGCATTTTCTCCCCACAGAGGTCTTGTGTTTGCATACCATTAGCATAACCATATCATTTTGTGGTCTCTTAGGGCCAAAAATTGGGTTAAGTGTTATATTTAAGTCTCTTCTATCTGGTCGAGACAAAGATGTCAATCTTCTTATCTCCGGATAGAAGAATCTTAAATAGGGGCAGCTGTAATATCCTAATTTTTACCCCTAAGATCCCACTTTTCATTTGCATCATTACATACGCAAACAAGATCATACTTTTGGGCTTTCTCACCCTTATTTGTTTCTTACTTGTTTTTTTGTTGTTTATGTTTACTAACCTCTAACCAAAATACCAAAAATATTTTTCAATTTGCTTGTTTCTTCTTCTTCTCTATGTGTTTAGGGTTTTGCAAGGAGATTGATGGCAAGGACATTCATTCAAGTCTAAAGTCAGATGGAAGTTTGACCTTATCTTGGTCAAACTATCAAGAGATTGCTTCAATTGCAAATTGGTTGTGGTGGTGGGCTATTTTCTCAGGCAATGTGTTTGTTCAAGGTCAAGTTGTCCTGTATCAGAATTTATCAAGCTTTCAAGCAGTGTTCTATGAGAAGTTTGGCCCTGTTTTAATCGAAGATTCAGAGTTTTGTCTGTATAAGTCAAGTTTGGTGGATGTTCAATCAAGATGTTTTGTTTTGGGATGCAAGTACAAAGTTTTCATTCAAGTATGCTATTTCCAAAACATGATTGGAGGTATTGATCTTTGGGTTCATCATGGCATCATGTTCTTAAGAAGTTATTTCATTCAAGAATTTGATTCAAATTAAAGTGGGAAGAGTCATACATATGGCTTACTTGGAATACAAGTTACTTGAAAATTTAAGGCATTCATTCAAAGTTGTCAAGAGTTCAACAAGACAAGACATTTATCAAAGTTCAAAGTCCAAATACAAATAAAGGCCAAGGAAGGTGGTGGATCTTATGAGAGAGGAAACATTGTTTTCTTGGCAAGGAGGACCTATAATTTTGTTGCAGTTGAGAAGTGAATGGGAAACTTGCAATTTGGCGGTTATCTTAAGTCTGGTGGTTTCATAATTGGAAGAACCCTTGTTGTTCTTACAGCCTTGACATCGGGAACTTCACAATCAAGCAGTCTTGAAGGTGCAGCTATTGAGGCTGCAACATTCTCCCAGCAGTATGATTCTGTTGGATGGGCTAAATTTGATGAGTTTCTTACGCAGTCCAACATGGTTCGTCCTTGTGTTGCAGCTCACGCACTTGTCTCTGTTTGTTGCAAAGGTTTCATTGAGGTTGTTGTGTACTCATCAAGCAAGGGGTGGATATCAATGCAATGGATAAGATCTTCGAAGCCGTTCCTCCACACTAATGTTTATTGCAATTTGCTGTTGTTGTCAGCAGGTAGATAAATGTTGTTAAATTACTGTTGCATGTTGGAGTAAGATTTGATATCAAGGTTGAACTAGGAGCTTGATTTTAGGAAAACAGATATGAGAGAAGAACCTCGTGTTGGTGTCGGACTAGCTGAGCCTCATCGAATCACATGGTACGGTGAAGAATATTTTGAACCCGCTGGAAGAACTCTCTTGCTCAACACCATCATTTTCACCAATGAAAAAGAACATTGATTCCCGAGCCTCTGACAATATTAAAGCTTTATTCCAAAATGAAAAATTGTTGCTTCATGCACTGCAAAAGATAAAACACACGCCAGTTGTTCCATTCAGTTTTACAAGTATAATTAGTTTTCAATGGGAAAAAGGATTATGGCTGTGGCTGTTGCTGTTCTAATTTAGTGCCCTTGACAAGAGGCTCTTCATCATAATCATGAGTCAACATTCCTGAAGTAGTAGGCAATAATATAACATGACGGCATCGTGTTCTCATCCGTATTTGAAAAAACCAAGCTGCTAACAGGTTGAAAATGAGTTCCACACACCTACTAATTGATGATGGTGTTGAGAATGTAGTTCCAGCTGACTGGATGCCATACAGTGCATTTGGAGCTAATTTCTACAAGCGGTATCACGAAAAAACTGTCTTGTCTCATGAGGAGCTTCTTTATGTAGTATCCCAATATGGTGATGTTGACAACACGGATTGGTAAAACTTCAAAGTTGGAACAAGTAAATACGCTCGATAATATTGATCAGCATGCTAATGCTAGACTAAGCCAATTCCTACTTCAGTTGCAAGTGTTAATGTGCTTTCTCAATTATTGCCGCCTTCTGTTGAATCTAATTTGCATCTTGCAGAGACTTAGACTCCATTGCAAAGACACATCTATGGCGGCGGTATGGTATTGATCCTACAATAGTCATCAGTTAACTTGCCTTCTCATAATTTCGGTTCATAGTGGCAACCTCATCCGCAGGAACATGAAGCAGCAGCTGTAATCATACAAGTTTGAACGACACCAAGCTGGTTTGGCAGGGTATGATTCTGGTGAAAAGAAACGCATCCCTGCCTGGTGTGACATAATTTTGTATCGTGATAGTCGCTCTTCTTTGGTTGCTGAATGCAGTTTGGAGTACCCTGTTGTCTCCTCAGTATTACAGTATGAAGCATGCATGGATGTCACAGATAGTGACCACAAGCCTGTGCGCTGCATAATTTCTACAGATATTGCTCGAGTAGATGAACCAATACGGAGACAGGAGTTTGGAGAGATTCTCGAGTCAAATGAGAAAATAAAATGTCTTCTAAAAGAATTGTACAAGATTCCTGAAACTATCATAAGTACAAACAACATAATTCTTCAAAACCGGGACACATTACTTTTGCGCATCACTAATAAATGAAAAGAAGACAGTGCTTTGTTTGAAATAATTTGTGAAGGGCAGTCTACTATTATGGAGGATCGGAAGGCAGCAAACCATCAGTTGAGAGGTTCCTTTGGCTTGCCGAGGTGGCTTGAGGTAAGTCCTGCGACAGGTATTATAAAACCAGATCAGATTGTTGAGAGTTGAGTGCATCTAGGGAAACCAGTATGGCCGATATAGCTTCCGAGTGTGTGATTTTACTGCTCAAGGCCGCTCCTAGAGAAGCCACGACTGGTTTACTAACCAATCTCCCCAAGGTCACTGTGATCCTAGAATCATGGAGTAAAGGCATCCTTCACTTGATGGTTCAGAGAATGTTTTATGCTTTAGGTTATGCTTGCAAGCAGTACTTATTGCATGCAATGATCCTATCAATATCGATACCAGAGATTTCAAGAATTGAAGACTTCTTCAAAGCTGTTGATGCCAGTGCAGAGGAATACATGGCTTGTTGTTTGATGTACTGTGGTGATGTCGTGCCTAAAGATGCGAATGCTGCTGTTGCAACCATTAAGACCAAGAGGACCATTCAGTTTGTTGATTGATGTCCAACTAGGTTCAAGTGTGGTATCGATTATCAACTTCCAACTGCTGCTCTGATTCGTTTGGCTGCTCAACTTCAGCTATTATTTGCCCCTGATGTCGAGGAGTCCATTGTGCATTTGCAGAATAGATGGGATAATGTTCAACAGGCACAGCAGATCGATGGATTTAATAATGAAAACAACCCTCTCAGACATGACACATCGACTTCAACGTCTGAGCAGTGCTCTCCAAAAACATATTCAAAGGTTGGAGCTAGTATAGCTGGCTTGATGGATGAAATATGTGAAGATGCATTTCAAGTAAATGACAATAATGCATGGCAATCATATTCTTTTGAATCGGGATTTTACATTCCACACGATAGAAACGGCTTAGTTGAGGTTGGTAAGTTGAATTTGGATGAACCTGAAGTTCTCTCTCCTGAACCTGTAGTAGGACCTGAAGGTGATCTTCGGGGTTATCTAGAAAGGCTGTCTAAGGCAGACAATGTTCGAGAGTTTGTGTCGGTGAATCCATTTGGCCAGCGGCCCATAAGAGAAGCAGATATATCCTGGGGTTATTATCTGAAAGTTATAGAATCAGTTAAGTGCAGTGAAACTGATAGGCTCTCAGCCCCAGGTAAGGAGCAAACCTCAGCATCAATTTGCAGATTTGAAGCAGTTGATAGAACTTGAAGAGCTTTTTGCTATATTTCATGAAAGGAGTTGTAATTTAGGAGATGATGCAATTGACCTGGAAAATGAAATTCCACTTTCAAAACCACTTACATAAGATGGGTACTTGTTAAAAAAGCTGTCATGCTCTGAAGCATTGACTCTTCTCCATGAATATGGTGCTATTCTGCTGGAAGATAAGGTTGTTGAAACAAAAAAGCTGCAATGTCTCCTTTGAAAGTAATGACTGAAGCAGTAACATCTTTGATTGAGAAAAAAGGCCTACCGACTGAGCTTCTAGATGAACTGCCATGAAGGGTGGGGGACCGTACTATCTCATAGGTCGCGCCCTTGGTCCAGAAGTTGGAGTTAGTATTGGTTTATGTTTTTTCCTTGGAAATGCAGTTGCTGGAGCTCTGTATGTATTAGGAGTTGTAGAAACATTTTTGAAAGCGTTTCCTTCTGCTGGAATTTTTAGAGAGCCATGACACAATGGGATTCTTCTGGCCTACTAATGGTTAATATAACAAAGTTGTATCCAAAATCTGATTGTAGTGTGTTTGATGCTTTTGGTAGAGTTTATAGTGGCAAGATACAGACAGGGCAGGCCGTCCGTGTTCTCGGAGAGGGATACTCACCAGATGATGAGGAGGACATGACTGTAAAAGAAGTAACGAAGTTGTGGGTTTATCAAGCTCGCGACAGGATGCCAATAGCTGAGGCTCTTCCAGGTTCTTGGGTTTTAATTGAAGGTGTGGATGCTTCAATAACGAAAACCGCAACTTTTTGTAATGTGGATTTTGACAAGGATGTATACATATTCAGGCCCCTTCTGTTCAATACCCTGTCAGTGGTAAAAATAGCCACTGAGCTATTAAATCCAAGCGAGTTGCCAAAAATGGTGGAGGGTCTAAGGAAAATTAGCAAGAGTTACCCTTTAGCAGTTACTAAAGTTGAGGAGTCTGGGGAACACACTATATTAGGGACTGGTGAGCTGTACTTAGATTCAATTATGAAGGACCTGAGAGAGCTATATTCTGAAGTAGAAGTCAAGGTAGCAGATCATGTTGTCTCATTTTGTGAAACAGTTGTTGAGTCTTCATCAATGAAATGTTTTGCTGAAACACCAAACAAGAAGAATAAAATAACAATGATCGCTGAGCCTCTAGAAAAAGGTTTGGCAGAAGACATAGAGAATGTTGTAAAGGATTCCATTGTTCAGGGATTTCAGTGGGGTGCACGGGAAAGACCTTTGTGTGATGAACCCATTAGAAATGTTAAATTTAAGATTGTTGATGCAAGGATTGCCCCTGAACCACTTCATCGTGGATCTGGCCAGATCATTCCAACAGCACGGCGAGTGGCTTATTCGGCTTTCCCCCGCCTTATGGAACCAGTATATTATGTAGAGATTCAAACACCGATAGATTATGTGTCTGCTATCTACACCGTGTTGTCTCGTAGGCGTGGACATGTTACTGCTGATGTTCCTCAACCAGGCACCCCGGTTTATCTTGTTAAGGCATTTTTGCCCGTGATAGAATCCTTTGGTTTTGAGACAGACTTGAGATACCATACGCAAGGGCAAGCGTTTTATCAATCAGTTTTTGATCAATGGGCTATTGTTCCCGGAGATCTTCTGGACAAAAGCATTGTTTTGCGCCCATTTGAACCAGCACCAATCCAGCATCTTGCCCGCGAGTTTATGGTAAAAATAAGGCGCAGGAAGGGAATGAGTGAAGATGTAAGTATATGCAAGTTCTTTGATGAGGCTATGATGGTGGAACTTGCACAGCAGGCGGCAGATCTTCATCAACAAATGACATGATTCTTCACAATTTTTCTGCCTGGTTTGATGTTCATTTTGGATTGAGTTTGAAATTTTGGCCCTTTTGACTGAAACTGGAAGCAAATGGTATGCGATACAGCAAGCAAATTATGAGTTATTTGCTTCCGAAGTTGGCATGTATTTGACAGAGCTATTTACCATACTGCTGCGGCAACATGTCTTTCGGATGAAATTAATGCATTGAAACAAGTACTTAAGTGGCGCATCCCTCACATTGAGTTAAACTTAACAAACTGTCTGTAGAGCAAGAAAATGATTGTCGTCGTCAACGCACTTTCAGATTCACACTCTCATATTTCCACTGCAAAAGATCAACAATCCCTTCTAATATGAACCGTTCAATGTTTTGGTGCAATTGTTAAGATGAGGCTCGAGCGTGTGCAATGATGTCATTATTTTGGGTTGTAATTTGTCAGCTAGCAGAAGCTGAGGCAATGGCGGTATCAAGAAGCGGCGGGAAATAGAATTCTGTGGTAGCAAAAGCTTTGTTTTTATCCAGACTATTTTCACTTATCCAAGCTATATTGCAAGCCATGTGAATATAATCTCAGCCATGTTACACTCCAAGCTGACCCCACAAACAATCCACGTCACCTAAGTGAGTTACAAAAAAAAGAAAAAAAAAGGAGTAAAAACGACATGAAAAAAGTTTCAACCAGTCACGCATAACTTGTAGCAACCAAAACGCACAGAAAAATACACAAACGGCAACCATTTTTCACTCACTCTAATCTATAAATACCACTCATATCTCCTTCATTTCTTCAAGCTTGAAAAGCCAGAAAACTTCTGCAGAAATATCACCCCAACCTCTAATTTTCTTCAAGCTTCAATCCTCTTCACCTCTCATACTTTCTTCGTTCATCAAAACCATTTCATACTATATTCACTCTTCACTTTTTTTCTTTCAAATTAACCTCAAACAGAGACCAATTTCGAACTACAATTCATTCAGAAGAAGAAGAGAAGCAAGAAGAAGTTTGGATTGATTGTTGCTCCTGAGTTTGAAGGTAGTTTGAGCTTCACCGTCATTTCCGATCCGTTACTTTTTGTTGTGTTTCTTTGAATTGTTGGTACTATTGTGAAGAGCTCTTGATTCCGATCACAACCGTGCTGGTTTCGCATCCCGCCGCTTTGATTTGAGTAAGCGTTGAAGCTCCTATGGCCGTGAGCAGTGTCGTGAGAACTTGAAGAAGAAGTTGTATTCTGTTCTTTCTCTTTTCTTTCCTTTTCATTTATTTTTATTTCAATTTTCTTTTCTTTTTTTTTAATTTCTCTTTTTTTGATTTGTACGTGGAGCTTTCCACTTTTTCTTTTTCTTTTTTTTTAATAGTTTTATTAATAATATTCTTAAAAAAAAAAGTTCTTAAAAAAATCATTTAAAAATATTTTGATTTGGATTAATTGTTGGTTGTTTTAGATCTTGAATTTTGATAAGATCTTATCAATATCAATGGACTTTGGGTGTCGATTTTATCCACCAAGAGAGGTGATTGATATTGATGATGATCTAATTGATTTAAGATTCAAATTGAGGTTTCTTTTCATTTTAGTTCTTATTCTTCTTCTTTTTATTTTTGATCGATGAAATCTATGGATCATAGATTGTTGATTATCAAGGTTGTTTAATCTTCATTATTTCAAATCTATGGATGAATAATCATTGAGATAATTCTCCGTACTTTGGAATAGTGATAGATTACCTTTGATTAATTGATTAAAAATCTTGATTATGATGAGATCACTACCTCTTTTCTTTTTGTGTGGCATGTTTTAGGAGAGTGATTTATATATCACTTCTCTAACATGTGTTAACACTAACATTTTATTGACCGGCCTCAGATAGTCGTGGTTTCTACATAAACCCGATTACGATTGCTTAACATAGCGCTAAAGTGTCCCTTAATCGGAAAATGATCATTCGTGGCTCAAACTTACGTTTAAAAGTCCAAGTATGTTTAGTTGCTTGTCTTAACTCCAATACCTATGAAAATCATTGTTAGGAGGCTTTGATTCTATCAATCCTCTAATGAGCTTTCATTAACCTTGGTCTAAGTGCAAGAATTAATCATCATTGATCATATGTTCTAACCACTAATTACTAATTCACTAACATTGTCCTTGTTTAATTTTGTTTATATTCTCTTCTTACTCCTTATTTCTTATTTTTATGCTTCCATTTTATCATTTCATATCATATCTTTGTTTATGTTTATGTCATTTCTCTTTTGTCCACTTGGACCATACTTTGTTCAAAACATTAATAAAGGATAAAACATCTAAAAAATTTGGTGCTATTAACTTTGTGGTTATACTCTTGGACCATTCTTAGACCTTGGACTTCATGGACATTTTGGACTTAGGATTAGGACTTTCTTCCCTATGCTTGGAGTATTTTGAATCTTAGCCTTTATTTGGCTCGATCATTTGCTTATGCTTTAAATCGGATGGAATTCTTTTTGCTTGCTTTGGAGTGTGCTACAAGTCGGTTAGATCTTTCTTACCTATAGCTCTTATTTTGGTTTTTAGGATAGTCACTTCATCTCCTCCCCTTCTTAAATTTTCAAAACTTTCTCCCTCTTTCAAAACCTTCTTGGTTTCAAACTTCAAAACCGCTTTCGCAATAAAACCTTGACTTTCGTCAAGTGATTTTTAAACTTTGTTTTCCTTAATAAAAGTCAATCAATGTTAATCATGCTTTGACCAATTTCAAAAGACATAAAAAATACAAAAACTCATCAACTCTTTTTGTGCCTTTATGCACTTTTTCACTTTAAAACTTTTCATAAAGTTTAGACATGATTCATTTCTATAGTTGAGATGTAAATCTCCTATTCCCCATATTATTAAGACTTTGACATTTTCCACGTTGATGTTGAGTGATAGTCTTGTTGATAATCCAAGCAAATCCTCCATCTTTATGTGACGCAGATGTTGTCTTAATACTCGTGGGTGGATAGTCGCAGTTTTCTCCTTGAAATGACGACTTGTCTTTACATCTAAAATCAATCAAAACCAACAAATTTTTGTCATTTGTACCACGAACTACGGGGTTTTGATTCCATATTGCACTTTATGGGTACGTAGGCATGAGACGATAAGTCTCTCCAAACACAAAAATATAAAAAAATAATTCTCTTCTCATCTCCCCAATCTCTTTTCAAACAAACCATTTTCAAACCAAAAAGCGTAAATATTTCAAAGGGCTCCTATAGAGTACTATAGACGTTTTGGATGCTAACACCTTCCCATTGCGTAACCAACCCCCTTACCTCGATCTCTGTCTCGTGTTCTTATTTTAGAACTCTTTGGTTTTGTTCGCTCTTTTTCCTTTCCTTTATTTGGATAAAATAAAAGTGCGGTGGCGACTCTTGTTTTTTTGAGTTAAGTTAATCAATAACTTACACTCACGATTTTTACCGCTACACATGGTATCAAGACATGTGTATAACAAGCAAAAGATAAGATAAATAGACATGCTTGACATTATGGAAGTTTATGAAGGAAATATTTGAATATGTGAGCAAAGATTTAATCAATTGAAACATCATAAACAAGTCTAATCAAGTAATGTTCAAAATAAATCATGGATCAAATGAACATGGTAAGGAAATTTGGTACGTTTGGTCAAGGTGAACAACAAGGGCACAATATTTAAAATATGGTATAAGACATAACATGACCATACAAAATCATTTGGTCAAGGAAATAATTCAAGAAACATTAATGAAAGGTTCATGAATCATTTGGTCAAGGAAATAATTCAAGAAACATTAATGAAAAGTCCTAAAAAGTCACATAAAACAACAACTTTTCAATATAATGCAAATGGGTAAAATAATTAATATTTTTGGAATTTTTTCATACATTCACAAAATATATATGACAAATAAGGAGTTTGCAAAAAATTAGCTCAAAATGATAAATAGAGCATGAGATATGATTAAAAGAAAATGGGAAAAAAAACATAAAACAACTAAGTGATAAAAAGAAACGGATGCTGCCATTAGGACTTGAACTCAGGACTTCTTGCTCGCTGCTTAAAAACCTTACCACTAGGCCATGTGCTTTGGTTTGAAAGATGGCGCCATCGTCATCTTCCATAATTTATAAAATTTTGGAAAAACTATCTCTCTTAATACTCAATAAAATGGTACAATGTAAACACGAAATTTTCTTGGATTTTGATGAGGATCATGATGATACCATTTTATTTCATTTATTTTTAACACATAGCGAGTAATCAATCCAACACCAATATGAACTCTATAATGCAAATTCAAATTTAAATCATGTGTAGAAATGACCAGGATCAATTAGCATAGGTTTTTTGATGTCTACATCATGGCAAATGATTTGGTGATCGCGACTTTCTATGTTTAACTGAACTAACTACAAGTGTACAGTCTATCGCGTAGTAATATAAGATATCGATCCCACAGGGACTCGTAATCAAGCTAGTATTTTCGGGTGTTACTGTGTTTAGCTAGGTTGGTAATGTTTTAGGGGAATAAAAGCAAAATGAGTGCGTAAACTATAGGGGAATTAAAACGTTACTTAAGGTATAAATGCTTGAATCGGTATGCAATATGTTGGTTCTTCAAGGATTCGACAAGTCACCGGTGTTTTGGGTGTTTTCAAAAATAGTTTAAGAAGAAAATGACGATTTAAAGACCTTTGTCTCACTATGGTTATTGACGCTAGTCGCAACTCTAAGGCGAAATGTATGTTGTCGCTATCCCGTTCGCGGTTAAAATTACTTTTTGAAAACCATTAAGCTCTAATCCTTTTTAAAGCGTTGTTGTTGTTTTTAAAATGAATGCTTAGTTTTTTACTATCTGGACCTAACCACAACTGTCGCTTGTTGGTTCGTTCCTTTATGAATTTCCCACTGTCGTGGCAAAACTGCTTTTAAATAAGTTCTCGCTGTCGCGACGAACATTTATTTTAGAAAAATCGATTTAAAACTGAAGCCATAA